TTAGGTGCTACCATCCAGGTATTAGCTGCTACCATCCAGGTATTAGCCGTTACCATCCAGGTATTAGCCCCTACCATCCAGGTATTAGCCGTTAACATTAAGGTATTAGCCGTTACCATCCAGGTACTAGCTGCTGCCATCCATGTATTAGCCGCTACCATCCTGGTATTAGCCGCTACCATCTAGGTATTAGCCCCTACCATTCAGGTGTTAGCCGCTACCATTCAGGTATTAGGTGCTACCATCCAGGTATTAGCTGCTACCATCCAGGTATTAGCCGTTACCATCCAGGTATTAGCCCCTGCCATCCAGGTATTAGCCGTTAACATTAAGGTATTAGCTGCTGCCATCCAGGTATTAGCCCCTACCATTCAGGTATTAGCCATTAACATTAAGGTATTAGCTGCTGCCATCCAGGTATTAGCCCCTACCATTCAGGTATTAGCCCCTACCATCCAGGTATTGGCCGTTAACATTAAGGTATTAGCCGTTACCATCCAGGTATTAGCCGTTACCACCCAGGTATTAGCCCCTACCATCCAGATATTGGCCGTTAACATTAAGGTATTAGCTGTTAACATTAAGGTATTTGCCGCTACCATCCAGGTATTAGCCCCTACCATCCAGGTATTAGCCGTTAACATTAAGGTATTAGCCGTTACCATCCAGATATTAGCCGTTAACATTAAGGTATTAGCCGTTACCATCCAGGTATTAGCCGCTACCATCCAGGTATTAGCCCCTACCATCTAGGTATTAGCCGTTAACATTAAGGTATTAGCCGTTACCATCCTGGTATTACCAGCTACCATCTAGGTATTAGCCCCTACCATTCAGGTGTTAGCCGCTACCATTCAGGTATTAGGTGCTACCATCCAGGTATTAGCTGCTACCATCCAGGTATTAGCCGTTACCATCCAGGTATTAGCCCCTACCATCCAGGTATTAGCCGTTAACATTAAGGTATTAGCTGCTGCCATCCAGGTATTAGCCCCTACCATTCAGGTATTAGCCCCTACCATCCAGGTATTGGCCGTTAACATTAAGGTATTAGCCGTTACCATCCAGGTATTAGCCGTTACCACCAAGGTATTAGCTGTTAACATTAAGGTATTAGCTGCTGCCATCCAGGTATTAGCCCCTACCATTCAGGTATTAGCCCCTACCATCCAGGTATTGGCCGTTAACATTAAGGTATTAGCCGTTACCATCCAGGTATTAGCCGTTACCACCCAGGTATTAGCTGTTAACATTAAGGTATTAGCCGCTACCATCCAGGTATTAGCCCCTACCATCCAGGTATTAGCCGTTAACATTAAGGTATTAGCCGTTACATCCAGATATTAGCCGTTACCACCCAGGTATTAGCCGCTACCATCCAGGTATTAGCCGCTACCATCCAGGTATTAGCCCCTACCATCCAGGTATTAGCCGTTAACATTAAGGTATTAGCCGTTACCATCCAGGTATTAGCCGCTACCATCCAGGTATTAGCCCCTACCATCTAGGTATTAGCCGTTAACATTAAGGTATTAGCCGTTACCATCCAGGTATTAGCCCCTAACATCCAGGTATTAGCCGTTAACATTAAGGTATTAGCTGCTGCCATCCAGGTATTAGCCCCTACCATTCAGGTATTAGCCCCTACCATCCAGGTATTAGCCGTTAACATTAAGGTATTAGCCGTTACCATCCAGGTATTAGCCGTTACCACCCAGGTATTAGCTGTTAACATTAAGGTATTAGCTGCTGCCATCCAGGTATTAGCCCCTACCATTCAGGTATTAGCCCCTACCATCCAGGTATTGGCCGTTAACATTAAGGTATTAGCCGTTACCATCCAGGTATTAGCCGTTACCACCCAGGTATTAGCTGTTAACATTAAGGTATTAGCCGCTACCATCCAGGTATTAGCCCCTACCATCCAGGTATTAGCCGTTAACATTAAGGTATTAGCTGCTGCCATCCAGGTATTAGCCCCTACCATTCAGGTATTAGCCCCTACCATCCAGGTATTGGCCGTTAACATTAAGGTATTAGCCGTTACCATCCAGGTATTAGCCGTTACCACCCAGGTATTAGCTGTTAACATTAAGGTATTAGCCGCTACCATCCAGGTATTAGCCCCTACCATCCAGGTATTAGCCGTTAACATTAAGGTATTAGCCGTTACCATCCAGGTATTAGCCCCTACCATCCAGGTATTAGCCGTTAACATTAAGGTATTAGCCGTTACCATCCAGGTATTAGCCCCTACCATCCAGGTATTAGCCGTTAACATTAAGGTATTAGCCGTTACCATCCAGGTATTAGCCCCTACCATCCAGGTATTAGCCGTTAACATTAAGGTATTAGCTGCTGCCATCCAGGTATTAGACCCTACCATTCAGGTATTAGCCCCTACCATCCAGGTATTGGCCGTTAACATTAAGGTATTAGCCGTTACCATCCAGGTATTAGCCCCTACCATCCAGGTATTGGCCGTTAACATTAAGGTATTAGCCGTTACCATCCAGGTATTAGCCGTTACCACCCAGGTATTAGCCGTTAACATTAAGGTATTAGCCGTTACCATCCAGATATTAGCCGTTAACATTAAGGTATTAGCCGTTACCATCCAGGTATTAGCCGCTACCATCCAGGTATTAGCCCCTACCATCTAGGTATTAGCCGTTAACATTAAGGTATTAGCCGTTACCATCCTGGTATTACCAGCTACCATCTAGGTATTAGCCCCTACCATTCAGGTGTTAGCCGCTACCATTCAGGTATTAGGTGCTACCATCCAGGTATTAGCTGCTACCATACAGGTATTAGCCGTTACCATCCAGGTATTAGCCCCTACCATCCAGGTATTAGCCGTTAACATTAAGGTATTAGCTGCTGCCATCCAGGTATTAGCCCCTACCATTCAGGTATTAGCCCCTACCATCCAGGTATTGGCCGTTAACATTAAGGTATTAGCCGTTACCATCCAGGTATTAGCCGTTACCACCAAGGTATTAGCTGTTAACATTAAGGTATTAGCTGCTGCCATCCAGGTATTAGCCCCTACCATTCAGGTATTAGCCCCTACCATCCAGGTATTGGCCGTTAACATTAAGGTATTAGCCGTTACCATCCAGGTATTAGCCGTTACCACCCAGGTATTAGCTGTTAACATTAAGGTATTAGCCGCTACCATCCAGGTATTAGCCCCTACCATCCAGGTATTAGCCGTTAACATTAAGGTATTAGCCGTTACCATCCAGATATTAGCCGTTACCACCCAGGTATTAGCCGCTACCATCCAGGTATTAGCCGCTACCATCCAGGTATTAGCCCCTACCATCCAGGTATTAGCCGTTAACATTAAGGTATTAGCCGTTACCACCCAGGTATTAGCCGCTACCATCCAGGTATTAGCCCCTACCATCTAGGTATTAGCCGTTAACATTAAGGTATTAGCCGTTACCATCCAGGTATTAGCCGTTACCACCCAGGTATTAGCTGTTAACATTAAGGTATTAGCCGCTACCATCCAGGTATTAGCCCCTACCATCCAGGTATTAGCCGTTAACATTAAGGTATTAGCTGCTGCCATCCAGGTATTAGCCGCTACCATCCAGGTATTAGCCGCTGAATCTCCTGACTCATCTTAAAACGTTTCGATTATTTGCTAGGTCTGACCCATCCAACATGGACGCTCTGGACGCCAAATCAGTAGAACAACTTCTGACCTGAAATTCATTGAGGAAAATAGGCTGCAGGTAGATAGATGCATCGGCGCTAAACTACTGAGGCGTGAGTCTGATCATCAAAGCATGTTTTAGTCCTAAAGAGTCAAATAAAAAGGATGTATTTCAGTAAAACCTGAAAAATCGTCTCTTAAATGAATCCCTTTTAAAAACGATCCCATCCTCTTTGGAAGCGTATTGCTGAGTCAGCAGGAAGGGTGACGTAATGACGGAGCAGTAACTGACGCTGCCATGAGGCTAAAGTTAACATCTGCTTTCTGTCTCTAACCTTCAGCCGTGTTCAGCAGAATCTGAACTCTGTAGCTCTATGTTGAGAGTTCAGGTTTATTGAGTGTTTGATGAATCATCAGCATAATTTCTCCCAAACACTCAACATTCAACCTCTTTATGATCGTTTCACGGTTTATTAATCCTCACACTTGAAAATGATGATTGGCTGCATGTCCTCCAGGAAGTTAGTGACAGCTCGGCAGGACGGCGTCCCAGCCTGCAGCCTCCCTGCCTTTCATGCAGTGCATTATGGGAGGAGTTCCCAGCTCCTGGAGGGGATTAGAGCACGCTGCTGCCTCAGACAGTCTGCTGCTCTATTCTTAGAGATCAGCTGCTTCATTTATCTTTAAATCCGTACGCCCTGACATGTTGACTTGCTGACACACTCGGATCTCCTCACATTATTCAGACGTTGGGCGTGTGGGGGGCCAGCTAACGGCCCCACCGCTGCTGTTATCAGCTACAGGTTTGAACTTTGACCCCTACCTGCTGACTCCATGGCTGTAAACTCACAGGGACACTCCCTCTGCAGACGCGCTCCCTTCTCCTCTTTGTGCTTCATATCAGGAGCATCCATGTGCTGCTCTGGTTTTCATTCCCTTTGGGGTCTGATGTTTCTGTCCTGCACTGATTGGTTAAATATCTCCATCAGCGATTCTCTGTAGCAGACAGCAGCTGGGTTTGCATGCACGATTTCACCATCGGATTAACTTTATTCACCCTCGTTAAAACATGAAGTATCCTGTTCTAGTGAGCAGAGCTGTGGGAGTCCTGCGGGTCAGACAGAGCTAACTGAGACAGTGTTTCACCACTGTGTTCACCAGAGGATGCACACTGATCGATGTGCCCATTTACAGCTCACCACTCCAATTGTGTTCATTTAATGAAACCACAGGTTGCCCGCCTGGACTCTGCTAATCAGTGACATGTTAACCCCGACCTTCTTCAGATGGTGATGATTATAACCTGGATGTTCTCTTCTGTGCTCCTCAGGGGTCCCTTCAGCGTGGTGAGGAGATGCATCAACAGGGACACAGGCCAGCAGTTTGCTGTGAAAATCGTGGATGTGGCCCAGTTCACGTCCAGCCCTGGTCTCAGCACAGAAGGTGGGGCCCGTTCTCAGGAACCGTCTCTAACCCTAACCCTGGGGGACTAGAGTACAGATATTTATCTGCAGCGATAGGCTTCATGCAGACTGAGAGGAATGATGATGATGATGATGATGATTAGGGCTGGGTAAAAATAATCCATTTAATCGATTCCTTTACATTTTTGCAAAATCAATGTCTAGGGAATGAGATTGATTAGTTTTATAGTGACGCGCGTGACGTTCACATTGAAATGAGCAGGAAAGATGCACTTAAGATGACTTCAAGCCAGACAGCTGCTAATATAGCAATAGGTTGGCTGAAGACGTTAATAAATGGGGGCTGAGCAGCAAACACCCTGCAGTTACAGACAGCGCTGCACATATGGTTTGTTCAGTGGAGATAATGAAGCTCATACATGTCTGCTGTGCCCCCGCCGTGTCACGTCCGCTTGCTCAAGTGAGGCTTCACTTTTTCACAAGTTTGCACTTTGTGTTTAATGTGACAGGAAAAAATAAAATACATGATTATTTTGAATGTTGATGATGATGGTGATGATGATGATGGTGATGATGATGCTGATGATGATGATGATGGTGATGATAAGGGTGATGATGGTGATGGTGATGATGAGGGTGATGATGAAGATGATGATGATGATGGTGATGATGATGATGATGGTGATGATGAGGGTGATGATAAGGGTGATGATGATGATGGTGATGATGAGGGTGATCCATGGGGTTGCTAGTTCTCTGCGTATTGCCTTAGACAACGCAGCTCCTTTGAAAATGAAAACCGTTAAAAATAGAAAGCTTGCTCCTTGGTTTAATGCAGAGCTGCGTACTTTGAAGCAAAATGCTAGGAAACTGGAGAGAAAATATCGCTCCACAGGCCTGCGGGAGTCCTTCCTAGTCTGGAAAAATGGTTTACTGCTGTATAAGAGGACCCTTTGTAAAGCAAGAGCAGCATACTTCTCCTCATTAATAGAGGAGAATAAGAATAATCCTAGATTTCTTTTTAATCCAGTTGCCAAACTCACCCAGAGCCATAGCTCTGTTGAACCGTCCATTCCACCTGCTCTTAGCAGCAATGATTTTATGGGATTCTTTATAAATAAGATTGATCTTATTAAAAATAAGATCATAAGCACTCCTCTATCCGCGATTGTACCTGAGGTAGTCATGGAATCTGAACCGGGTTTAGACTGCTTTGATCCAGTTGAACTCTCTGAATTAGCAAAATTATTGTCTTCATCTAAGCCTTCAACTTGTATGTTAGATCCAGTTCCAACCAGGTTATTTAAGGAGGTATTCCCTTTGATCTCTTCCTCCATTCTAGATGTGATTAATCTATCTCTGTTACAGGGATATGTACCTAAAGCTTGCTGTAATTAAACCTCTGCTTAAGAAACCGTCTCAGACGCTCCTCCTCTGAAGGCTCAGATGCTCCTCTGATGGCTCAGATGCTCCTCTGATGGCTCAGATGCTCCTCTGATGGCTCAGACGCTCCTCTGATGGCTCAGATGCTCCTCTGATGGCTCAGATGCTCCTCTGAAGGCTCAGATGCTCCTCTGATGGCTCAGATGCTCCTCTGATGGCTCAGATGCTCCTCTGGTTGCTCAGATGCTCCTCTGATGGCTCAGATGCTCCTCTGATGGCTCAGATGCTCCTCTGAAGGCTCAGATGCTCCTCTGATGGCTCAGATGCTCCTCTGGTGGCTCAGATGCTCCTCTGATGGCTCAGATGCTCCTCTGATGGCTCAGATGCCCCTCTGATGGCTCAGACGCCCCTCTGAAGGCTCAGACGCTCCTCTGATGGCTCAGATGCTCCTCTGATGGCTCAGATGCTCCTCTGGTGGCTCAGATGCTCCTCTGAAGGCTCAGATGCTCCTCTGATGGCTCAGATGCTCCTCTGATGGCTCAGATGCTCCTCTGGTTGCTCAGATGCTCCTCTGATGGCTCAGATGCTCCTCTGATGGCTCAGATGCTCCTCTGGTTGCTCAGATGCTCCTCTGATGGCTCAGATGCTCCTCTGATGGCTCAGATGCTCCTCTGAAGGCTCAGATGCTCCTCTGATGGCTCAGATGCTCCTCTGGTGGCTCAGATGCTCCTCTGATGGCTCAGATGCTCCTCTGATGGCTCAGATGCCCCTCTGATGGCTCAGACGCTCCTCTGAAGGCTCAGATGCTCCTCTGATGGCTCAGATGCTCCTCTGATGGCTCAGATGCTCCTCTGGTGGCTCAGATGCTCCTCTGAAGGCTCAGATGCTCCTCTGATGGCTCAGATGCTCCTCTGATGGCTCAGATGCTCCTCTGGTTGCTCAGATGCTCCTCTGATGGCTCAGATGCTCCTCTGATGGCTCAGATGCTCCTCTGAAGGCTCAGATGCTCCTCTGATGGCTCAGATGCTCCTCTGGTGGCTCAGATGCTCCTCTGATGGCTCAGATGCTCCTCTGATGGCTCAGATGCCCCTCTGATGGCTCAGACGCTCCTCTGAAGGCTCAGATGCTCCTCTGATGGCTCAGATGCTCCTCTGATGGCTCAGATGCTCCTCTGGTGGCTCAGATGCTCCTCTGATGGCTCAGATGCTCCTCTGATGGCTCAGATGCTCCTCTGATGGCTCAGACGCTCCTCTGATGGCTCAGACGCTCCTCTGATGGCTCAGATGCTCCTCTGATGGCTCAGACGCTCCTCTGATGGCTCAGACGCTCCTCTGATGGCTCAGATGCTCCTCTGATGGCTCAGACGCTCCTCTGATGGCTCAGACGCTCCTCTGATGGCTCAGACGCTCCTCTGATGGCTCAGACGCTCCTCTGATGGCTCAGACGCTCCTCTGAAGGGTCAGATGCTCCTCTGATGGCTCAGATGCTCCTCTGATGGCTCAGATGCTCCTCTGATGGCTCAGACGCTCCTCTGAAGGCTCAGATGCTCCTCTGATGGCTCAGATGCTCCTCTGATGGCTCAGACGCTCCTCTGAAGGCTCAGATGCTCCTCTGATGGCTCAGATGCTCCTCTGATGGCCCAGATGCTCCTCTGATGGCTCAGATGCTCCTCTGATGGCTCAGACGCTCCTCTGAAGGCTCAGATGCTCCTCTGAAGGCTCAGATGCTCCTCTGATGGCTCAGATGCTCCTCTGATGGCTCAGATGCTCCTCTGGTGGCTTAGACGCTCCTCTGATGGCTCAGACGCTCCTCTGAAGGCTCAGATGCTCCTCTGATGGCTCAGATGCTCCTCTGAAGGCTCAGATGCTCCTCTGAAGGCTCAGATGCTCCTCTGATGGCTCAGACGCTCCTCTGATGGCTCAGATGCTCCTCTGAAGGCTCAGATGCTCCTCTGATGGCTCAGATGCTCCTCTGATGGCTCAGACGCTCCTCTGATGGCTCAGATGCTCCTCTGATGGCTCAGATGCTCCTCTGATGGCTCAGACGCTCCTCTGATGGCTCAGATGCTCCTCTGATGGCTCAGATGCTCCTCTGATGGCTCAGATGCTCCTCTGATGGCTCAGATGCTCCTCGCGTTGCATCATGGACGCTGTCAGAGCTGCTTCTAACCCCAACCCTAACACACAGATGTCACTAATTTTCTCCCACTAAACAATCCTTTATTTTCATTTGATTTTTCTTTTCTGAAATAAAACGGTTTCCCCTCCTCACACGCTCCGTTTTATCTGTGGCCTCTCTCCCCGCTGGTTCCCCTAAACAAGCATCCCATATTGTTCTTTTCAGCTTCACTAACCCTTCTCCTCATCAGGAGCCAATTCAATGCTGGATGCTCTTTGCCAGGATGCGAAAAAAGACCTGAAACGACGGTCTGCATGCAGACTAAGCGAGATCAGACCTGCTACCTGCAGATGAGTCAATAACTGGAAGCAATCAGCTACTTTTCCTGATTGAAACGTTTTAACAATCGTCTCAGTAAAGAGCCGCGCAGTGACGACGATTGCTCAGCTTTCCACCATCCAGTCAGCTTTCCAAACTCTCCAATAGTTTGGAAACTTGTTGCTGCACTTCCTCCTCCAAAAGTTCATGATGGTGAGTTCAAAGGTCATAGTTCACTGTGGGCCGTCAGCGGGGATAAAAGCTGTACGTCAAAATATAAAAGGTTGAAACATTTAGCCGCAAGAAAATCCTCAGCCACTCTCAGGTGAGAACAAGCAGCTGCTGAGGCCGCTGTCACATCCTGCCGATCCATCCAGCGTCTGCCTGACGTCCCAGAATCTCCTAAACTCTGCAGACGCTGAACTTTCTATGCATTCTTTCTATTCTGGGTGTTTAGAGGATTCATAACGAGTCCAGAACTTCTGTCCAACGACAGCCTGACTTCTGCATAACGCACGGCAGCGTAATGCCCAGGAAATGATGCACAGCGTCCTGAGCGATGCGCCTGGAGGCGCCCGGCCTGCAGAAAAAGGTTTATAAAGGTTTAAAAAGAATGCAGGTTTTTGGTGGCAGCACATTGATTAACCTAGATGCTGTTTACCTCCTGCTCAAAAATTAGAAAAAGAAAGAAAAAGAAAATAAAAGCAGGTTAATTGAGCGTCATGTCTGCTAGGAAGTGTGTTGGTGGTGGGCGTGAACGCAGGGAGGATCCATCACTCACCTTCTGGCTCACCCTATGATGGGGATGAAGTCTGGAGGAGAACTGACGGTTTCCTCCTGTGAACCCCCTTTATACCAAAACGCTGCCAATACGCCATTATACAGTAGCTGGAAGCTAGAAACACGTTCAGCGCTCGTCTGGAACACGGCAGATACGCTGATATGTTGGAGAGAAGTTCTGGATAAGTTACGCAGAGGTTTAGGATCAGCTAGACGCCACGACTGATGAGGAACTGATGCTGAACGGATGTTCATCAGATAACTGACCTGGAACTGATGGACCACGGATGGCAGACGCTGGTCTAAATGGTGAAGGTGTGAGAGGAGCTTGAACAGTTTTAGAGGCTTTTAGAGATCACAGCATTAGCGGTTAGCCTCACCTTCCCCCTGAAGGATCCTCCAGAGGCCGCAGTAGAGGAAGTGCTTCTGGTCCTGGACTGAACTTTAACCCTGAAGCATTTAGATGTTGATCCTGAAATGTTTGATGCTCACATCAGCAAAGGTCTGATGGATCCAGTTAAAGAGGAGAATGATGTCATCTGATCAACGGCGTAACGACTCATCAACAGGCAGCGTTACCTGGATGGGCCCCATCCAGGTAACGCTGCCTGCGCTTTGAAACATATGAGTGTATTTTTTACCAACCGTCTAATGAACTAACAGAGTAATTAGTGTCTGCTTTGCTGTTGGTGTCGTGTCTAAACGGCTCACCATCATGGTGAAACTCGCCATGCCGTATAAATACGGTCCGGTGAGGTCAGTCACTTCAGCATCAGGAGGGTTTAGGAGCAATTTGTTGCATCATCACATCTGCAAAGAGACGTCCTCGTCTATCATTGCGTAGGGGGCCACCAGGGGTCAGTGAGGGGGCCGCTGCCTCTGCTTAGCGATATTTATGCCATTGCATCTGATGATGTCATCTGATGATGTCATCTGATGATGTCATCTGATGATGTCATCTGAAAGTCCAGCCTGTTGATGTAAATCCTGCTGAGATGTCAGCAGATAGACCAGGGTTCCTCGTTGTTACGCCTCGTTGCCTTGGAAACCAGGAAACTCTTCATCTTTGTTCTTTCCTGGTTAAAAGCGAACTGACCAATCAGGAGATGATAATGGGATCAGATGTTTCTACAGTGAGCAGCGCGGTCCTGGAGCCCCGCACCTCAGATGCTGGTCTGGGTTGGTCTCCTCTGTTTATCCAGCATAAAGTGGATTAGCTGCTTTTATCAATGAATGTGGAATAAAACGCTCCAATCATCGATCATCTCGTCTGTTTCTGTTGTCAGATCTGAAGAGAGAGGCGAGCATCTGCCACATGCTGAAGCACGCCCACATCGTGGAGCTGCTGGAGACCTACAGCGCAGATGGAATGCTCTACATGGTGTTTGAATTGTAAGTCCGGCTGGAAGGACAGACTTCCTATAGGCTGCTATAGAGCGGGGGGGCGGCTCGTTCGGGACCCGTCCCTTTGCCTCCAGGAGGCCCTGGGCCTCCATCATGGCCGGCAGCCTGCCGCTGTGTCCTTGAGCAGCTCCTGTAGCCGCTCTAAGGGTTTTGAACCCATAACCTCTCAGTAGAAACGGGACCTTTGGGTTGTTGTTCTGAGAACAGCAGCTTCTTCCAGATGTTCTCCAGGTGATTCCAGCTCCTCCTCAGCTGACCTGTCCCCCTCCCCACCTGTTTCTGTCAGCATGGACGGGGCCGACCTGTGCTTTGAGATCGTGAAGCGCGCCGATGCTGGCTTCGTCTACAGCGAGGCGGTGGCCAGGTAAGCTTTCTACCTTTAGACTTTCATTCAGGCAGAGCGCCTTGCTAAAGTATTCACACCCCTTATGGTTTGGAATAAGTGACATTAAGCTAATTAACTAAGCTTTATTTATAGCACCTTTCTCAGACGAGCGCCACATTATTAACCAAGCAGGTAGAATATTATCAAAGAAACAGAGATTCATTCCCCAGATTAATATTTAAAGCTTTTATTTCTGTTAATTAGGATAATTTAACATCTAAAACTCATTTAAAAAGTAATTATTTAAGATCAGAAAAATGCATCATATTAATAGAAACAGTATAATCCCAGCCTGTCGGTTGCTGTTAAACCTCTGGTTGCTGAGAGGTTCAGATTAATCCTGTAATGGTCACATGACCAGGCCTCTTTACAGCCAACCTGCACATCTGGAAGACGTCAAACCAAGAAAAACATCCTGATAAACAATCCTGACTGCATAATGAGAAGAATTGAACTTTATTGATCTCAGACTGGAGGAATTCCCTCCCAGCCTTTAACCCCTCCCCTCAGGGAGCAGGGGGCTGCCACTGTGCGGCTCCCAGGGAGCAGGGAGGGGTTAAGGGTCAGGCTCAGGGACCAGAGTGCAGGATGTGAGAGTGGAACCTCTGGGTTCCCATCTCTATGCCCTAACCACTAGGCTGCCCCTCCCCCACATGACATCACTTCATGTAGCTGCTAGCATATAGCATGGCTAGCAGCTACACAGCAGCTCTAAGTAAACAGGTTTTAATCCCACATCAGAACTCCTTATATTCCACTGTGTGAGTCATCCCACTGCACAGGTGTGTCCGCAGGGGTGTGAATACTTCCCTACAGACCAGCAAACCCAGCAGTAACGCTGCGATTTCTTTACTTCAGCCACTACATGAGGCAGATCCTGGAGGCGCTGCGGTATTGCCATGACAACAACATCATCCACAGAGACGTCAAGGTATGTCCTCCATCTGCAGCCTGCGGAAGCCAGGCAGGCAGAGCTAGAGCTTATAGATCCACTCTGACCCACTTCCTGTTTGCTGTAGAAATGAGTTTATTTATTGTTTATTGATTCAGAGGTGGACTGTTACCCCTCCCTGTAGATCTCACCTTTCATGAAGGACCACAGGTTCTCCATGGGGTTCAGATCAGGTGACCAAGGCGGCCATGTCATTATTTTCTCCTTTTAGCCTTTTCCTGGCCGCCACGCTGTGGCGTATTCTGATGCGTGTGACGGAGCATCGTCCTGCAGGAATATCAGGTGTTTCTGGAATGATGGCGGCTTCTTCTTGTTCCGCTGTTTGAAGAAGGTGTCTTCCAGAAACTGGCAGTAGGTCTGGGAGTTGATCTGGACTCCATCATCAACCTGAAAAGCTCCCACAGGCTCATCTTTGATGATAGCAGCCCATAGCATTACCCCACCTCCACCTTGCTGGCGTCTGAGTGGATGAGGAACTTGCTGCCCTTTCCTGATCCAGCCTGGTGCCCATCCATCCATCTGGCCCATCTAGACTCGCCTCATTCCATCAGACCCAAACACCTTGGAGGAATCAGTCTGCAGAGATTTCTTGGCCCGATCTTGACGTTTTGTCTCGTGCGTCTTGTTCAAAGGTGGCCTTTGTTCAGCGTCCCTTACCTTGGCCAGGTCCCTGAGGATTGAGCACCTTGTGCTTCTGGGCGCTCCAGACATGTTGCAGCTCTGAAATATGGAACAACTGGTGGCTGATGGCTTCCTGGCAGCTTCACGTTTCATCCTTCTCAATTCATGGCGAGTTATTTTGCGTCTTCTTTTTTCATCACGTTTGCTGCGTCCCTGTTGGCTATTTGCCATGAACCGCTTGATTGTGAGATAAACCTGCTTCAAAAGTTTGGTTATTTCCAAACTGCTGCCCCCCCTCTGAAAGACATCTGACCATTGTTGACCTTTTCAGAGTCAAATCTCTTTTCTGACCCATTTGGCCAAAGGAAAGGAAGTTGCCTAATAATTGAGCACACCTTATATAGGGTGTTGATGTCATTAGGCCACGCCCCTTCTCATAACAGAGATGCACACCACCGGATTTACTTCATTGGTAGTTGGCTTTCAGGCCTAAACAGCTTGCTACTAATTCTGCACACAGTGTAGATCCTGCTGCTCATCAGTCCTTTAATCCTGGAAATGTTGTTCAGGTGATGAAAGGCGGACTCAGTAACTGCCGTTCTGAACCTCTGAAGGTTCAGCTCTGAGTCCATCTCGTCTCCGTTTCATGAAGCAGGTTTATTGAAAACTACGTTTTCTAAATCTGAAATCAGGGAAACTCTGAGTTTCACAATGAGACTTTCCTCAACCTGTTTCTGTTGCCATGGTAACAGAGTTAACCTGGTAGGTAGCAGGTTTTTGTCATAAAAGGGACAGATGGACCCAGTATTCAAGGTGAGACAGTCAGTAGGAAAGTTCCAAAGGTTTATTAAAATACTAAAGAGGAGCAGCTGGGATGTGCTGCAGCAGGGGGGCGGGGCACCACCCAATCTCTGACACTCTGTGGGAGAAACACAGGTTAGTGACCACGATCATCTGACTGAAGATTATGATCTCAGTGAGTCACTTACCTGGTTTAACTGTCCAACCCATCTCCCTGGAAAGGGGCGCGATCCAGCCGCTGGAGACTGACGCGGCACGAGTTACTGAGTGTCCCCGGTGCAGCAGTCCCAGAGGACTAGCAGGAAACCCAGCCTGGACAGGGATTCAGAACAGAAAGGAACAGACAGAACAGGCAGGATCCAGGCATCCTAGAGCTCCAGGCAGGTTCAGAGTCTGAAAGATTCCGGAAGCGTGACCAGGCGGACACGCACAGGAGCAGACGGGATCAAGAGCAGACGGGATCAGGTGCAGACGGGATCAGGTGCAGACAGGATCAGGAGCAGAAGGGATCAGGAGCAGACGGGATCAGGAGCAGACAGGATCAGGAGCAGACAGGATCAGGAGCAGACGTGATCAGGAGCAGACAGGATCAGGAGCAGACGTGATCAGGAGCAGACAGGATCAGGAGCAGAAGGGATCAGGAGCAGACGGGATCAGGAGCAGAAGGGATCAGGAGCAGACGTGATCAGGAGCAGACAGGATCAGGAGCAGACGTGATCAGGAGCAGACAGGATCAGGAGCAGAAGGGATCAGGAGCAGACAGGATCAGGAGCAGACGTGATCAGGAGCAGACGGGATCAGGAGCAGACGTGATCAGGAGCAGACAGGATCAGACAGAAGGATCAGACAGACAGGATCAGGAGCAGACGTGATCAGGAGCAGACAGGATCAGGAGCAGACGTGATCAGGAGCAGACGGATCAGGCAGAAGGATCAGGAGCAGACGGATCAGGAGCAAAGGATCAGGAGCAGACGGATCAGAGCAGACGTGATCAGGAGCAGACGGGATCAGGAGCAGTAAGGATCAGGTGCAGACGGGATCAGGAGCAGACAGGATCAGGAGCAGAGGATCAGGAGCAGACGGGATCAGGAGCAGACGGGATCGAGCAGACAGATCAGAAAGACGGGATCAGGAGCAGACAGGATCAGGAACAGACGGGATCAGGAGCAGACAGGATCAGGAAGAGACGGGATCAGGAGCAGACGGGATCAGGAGCAGACGGGATCCAGAGCAGACGGGATCAGGAGCAGACGGGATCCAGAGCAGACAGGATCAGGAGCAGAAGGGATCAGGAGCAGACGGGATCAGGTACAGACGGGATCAGGAGCAGACGGGATCAGGAGGAGACGTGATCAGGAGGAGACGTGATCAGGAGCAGACGGGATCAGGAGCAGACGGGATCAGGAGCAGAAGGGATCAGGAGCAGACGGGATCAGGAGGAGACGGGATCAGGAGCAGAAGGGATCAGGAGGAGACGGGATCAGGAGCAGAAGGGATCAAGAGCAGAAGGGATCAGGAGCAGACGGGATCAGGAGCAGAAGGGATCAGGAGGAGACGGGATCAGGAGCAGACAAGATCAGGAGCAGAAGGGATCAGGAGCAGACGGGATCAGGAGCAGAAGGGATCAGGAGGAGACAGGATCAGGAACAGACGGGATCAGGAGCAGAGAGGATCAGGAAGAGACGGGATCAGGAGCAGACGGGATCCAGAGCAGACGGGATCAGGAACAGACGGGATCAGGAGCAGACAGGATCAGGAACAGATGGGATCAGGAGCAGACGGGATCAGGAGCAGACAAGATCAGGAGCAGAAGGGATCAGGAGCAGACGGGATCAGGAGCAGAAGGGATCAGGAGGAGACAGGATCAGGAACAGACGGGATCAGGAGCAGAGAGGATCAGGAAGAGACGGGATCAGGAGCAGACGGGATCCAGAGCAGACGGGATCAGGAACAGACGGGATCAGGAGCAGACAGGATCAGGAACAGATGGGATCAGGATGAGACGTAATCAGGAGCAGACAGGATCAGGTGCAGACGGGATCAGGAGCAGACGGGATCAGGTGCAGACGGGATCAGGAGCAGACAGGATCAGGAGCAGACGGGATCAGGTGCAGACGGGATCAGGAGCAGACGGGATCAGGAGCAGACAGGATCAGGAGCAGACGGGATCAGGTGCAGACAGGATCAGGAGCAGACGGGATCAGGTGCAGATGGGATCAGGAGATCAGGAGCAGACGGGAGCAGGAGATCAGGAGCAGACGGGAGCAGGAGCAGACGGGATAAGGAGCAGATGGGAGCAGGAGCAGACGGGATCAGGAGCAGACAGGATCAGGAGCAGCAGCACTGGGATAAAAACTGATCCTCCCCGCGTACAGAGCCTAAAACCCAGAGGACTCAGCAGGGGAGGAACGGTGGACGATCAGGAGAGGAGACGGATACAAAAACCCTCTGTCCACTGGCCGCCAGGATCCACGACATGAACCTTAGAATAAACAGAACTGAACAGAAAACAACATCTACTGATCTGGCCCTGATAGCTGGAACTGAGCCCAATGTAAGGTATAAGATGAGTGATGATTAGGAGCTGGAAAGAAGAAAGCAGGTGAAAGGCAGGAGTGATTAAGGCCAGCTACCTCAGCAGATCAGGACAGTTTCCATCAGTAAACTGTCTCAGATTTATCTCCTAGTTTTGTGCATAGAATAAAAAATAATTCACTAGGTCTGTTAGAAACATTAGGTCTTAAAAACCAACACTGCATGTCTGATTGACGAGGATCTAATTAAAAAATGATCGGCATTAATTCACAGAGAATGAAATATTTATAGGGAGAGGATTCTAGAGCTCAGTGACAGGAGAGGAGATTACTGGTTTAATATGAGCCAGATGTTGATCATTTTAATTTTATTTAGTTATATTTACAGTACATGAAGAACTACTGAAATTATTTTCAGATTACACATAAATAGAATAATTAATTCCACAGGGGAGCTCAGATTAGACTCAGATTCAAGATGGCTGAATAAAGCTGTTAGAGGCTCCAGGTTGGTCCTGCTGACAGAAAGCAAGAAATATTTGTTTTCATTACGACTCATTCAGCTGAAGTTTTTAAGGTTTAGGACCAGAGATCTTCTGATCTGGGCTCATTAGACGGTGTCCGTTGGCAGCCCCCCCCCCACCCACACACACCAGATTGAGCATTCAGATGTCGGCTGTTGGCTCACAGATGTCTTCTTTCAGAGCAAACTTTGGAGGCCGGTTTGGTGCAGAACCATCTCTGACAGCTGAGAGATCCAACCGGGCCTTTGGGCTAAACTAGAACAGAAAGGCTCAGTTCAAACCAGCCAATCACAGCGTGGTTCTGCTGGTCTCACTTAGAAAGAAGGACCGGCGGCTCTGCTATGATCCTGCAGCGATTAAAAGGTCCTGAGTGGATCTGAACCTTTCCTCTTTGCTTAGAGAAGTAAACGTCACTCCACCTGTGAGGGCAGGTAACTTCTGCATACCACCATTTTATTTGTGCATTATGGTTCAAAATGAACAAAAATATAAAAGTTGTTATATAACAATATAAAATGTCGCTATCAAAAGCATTGAAATGAAAAATAAAGGCCACTACTAATCAAACCGGCTGCTGCTATATCTCGCTATATTTACACCAGTCACCACAAACTTCACCTTTATACATCCACAGGCGCATTGAGCTGAACACAGCTGTGGGTTAAACATGTCCAAGTTACCATGGTAACGGCATCACTGTGAGACAGGGAAATCTGCTAGAGCCAACAACTGAAAACAAAAGTCTGTCTGCAGCATCCAGATCAACTCTGATAGAAAATACATAGATCATGTCAACATGGCGTCCATATTTCTGTCACCAGTTTATGAAAAACAGCGTTTGAAATATGAATAAAACCAGAGTCAGCGTCTAAAACCTGCTAATAGACATCCAACCAACACAGCTGATGGATGGATGGATGGATGGATGGATGGATGGATGGATGGATGGATGGATGGATGGATGGATGGATGGATGGATGATGGATGGATGGATGGATGGATGGATGGATGGATGATGGATGGATGATGGATGGATGATGGATGGATGATGGATGGATGGATGATGGATGGATGGATGGATGGATGGATGATGGATGATGGATGGATGGATGGATGGATGGATGGATGGATGGATGGATGGATGGATGGATGGATGGATGATGGATGGATGGATGGATGGATGATGGATGGATGGATGATGGATGGATGGTGGATGGATGGATGGATGGATGGATGGATGGATGGATGGATGGATGATGGATGGATGATGGATGGATGGATGATGGATGGATGGATGATGGATGGATGGATGATGGATGGATGATGGATGGATGGATGGATGGATGGATGATGGATGGATGGATGGATGGATGGATGGATGGATGATGGATGGATGGATGGATGGATGGATGGATGATGGATGGATGGATGGATGGATGGATGATGGATGGATGGGTGGATGGATGGATGGATGGATGGATGGATGGATGGATGGATGATGGATGGATGGATGGATGGATGGATGGATGGATGGATGGATGGATGGATGGATGGATGGATGATGGATGGATGGATGGATGGATGATGGATGATGGATGGATGGATGGATGGATGGATGGATGGATGGATGATGGATGGATGGATGG